GAGCTACCCAATGCTTTTGCTGCCACCCATCCTTCTGTTTCGTGGCCCAATAGATCAGCAGAGCCAATGACTTACCAGCCTTTTCTGGTTGAGGACCTGCTCAATAAGTGAGGGTCTGGAAGGACGGTCCCCCACGGTCCCCAGGCGCTGTTTGTTCACAGAGACTGGCCGCTCCTCAGAGTTTTCCTGAGCAGCCACAACAAATACACACATAATTAAATAATAACAAAAACAGAGAAGAGCTAGAGAGATTTGTTGAAACTAGAATTTCGTCTCGGGGGAGAAAACGCAGAACCAGAAAGACACTAACAGCTTTAAAATCTGTAGGTGACGTTTTTAACTTCATAGCAAACAAGATTTGACAGGTGGAGAGGATTTGCATAAACTACTTCAACTTAGTACTGCCTGTACTGCTAACTTGTGTGAAAACTTTATCCAGTCAATGAGTACCATACCAGAATACATCCTGACAGGATTATAAAAATATGTTAATTTAGATGGTCTCTAGACAAGTCCAAGAAACATGGAAAGTGATGAACAAAACAACTGACAGGGTAATAATCAGGTTAGTACTTATAAAATAATATTTTTGTTTATTATTGTCATCAGTGAGTATCAGTAATATGATCATATAGTAAATAAGTAAAAGAAATATTTCACTGTTTGATTTTTGATGATTCATATAAAAGGTACAGTGATGGATTCAAATAAAGAGGTTCTGACTTACGTCCAGTTTCCCGCTGGACATGGCCTGGTCACTCTTCTTCTTCTTGTATTTGTCTTTATACATCTTGTTTCGGTGTTTCTTACACATCCACGGTTTCCTCTGCTTGGCCACCTGCGTTGTCGTCTCCTGGCATCCCTCGTAGGTGCACTGCTTGGGGGCGTTGTCGCCCTCCGAGGCCTCCTCGTCGTTGAGCTCCTCGGGGCTAGCTGCGCTGTCCCTGGGGTCAGAGGGGTCCATGACGTCGCTCTCCTCGTCCGGGTCGTCCATCATCATGTCGGAGACGTTGTTCTCCGCTTCGTGCGGCGTCACCACACTCCTGCTGTCGACCACCCCGCTCCTATTAACGTAGTACCTCTGTCCGTCCTTGGTGAGCAGCAGAGTGGAGTCTTTATCTTTGTTTGCTGCGGATGATGGAGCGTCCTCTTCAATCATGTCTGCGGTGCACAAAGAGGGAGCAGCTGACAGCTAACAAGCTTTACTATCCGTCCTTCACGGTTAGCTCGAGTTTACAATCATACTTACATGTTCTGAGCCACTTTATCCTACTCACAAAGTGTAACCTTTTTATAAATATATGTGTTTTATCGCCATCATTTAAAATGCTAGCTTTAATTGACTTGTAATCTGCGAAAGCAACAACACATGAACCCAGGTTCTTCTTCTACGTAGTGAAAAAAAGTTGCATTTCCGCCACCTACTGGCACATTCTTCGCTGATTGATTTCTTGTATAACAGCGACATCTACCGGTCAATAAATGAAGTGCACGTCATTTGTTATTTCTACGTTTTAATTTATAAAAAGCAAGCAAAAATAATAAAAAAGTTGTTTTATGTCATCATAGTCTACTATAATCTTTGTTTATATCGGTCTTTGTAATAGCTTTGAACCTATTTTAGTATAATGGTCCTTATTTTATATTTTAGTGCATTTTTGTCTATTATTCGTTGCATTTTGGGGAATTTATTTAGTGTCTCCCTGACTCATCTGATTTAAAAACAAATCTTAGAAATCCTAATAGTACTAGATAGACTAATAGGACATCATACAGTGTTTTTAATATTTTTTTCACCACATGTAGAAAAATATATTTGCAAAGCATTTGCTAAAGTATGTTTCTGAAGGTAAAACAAACTGTCTAACTTTCGGAATTTGGTTAGCAATATTAAAGAGAAAAAATAATCAAGCTTTTTAGCTTTAAAATGGACAAAAAAATCACATTATTTTTTTTCTTGCACACTGAAAGGTTACATTTTTATACCAAATTACATGTTTTTAATGTTATTAATTTAATTATTTGGTTTGGTCAAATGTTATCTGATAAMTTTTAGGTTGAATATTAGGGAATAACTTTACTTGCCTCCCAAATTTTTTTATATTTTTTATGATTAACATGCAACAAAAATGTCACTTTTTCCTCCCACTTGTGTTTGAAGCACTTGAACTGTAAAGCGCACGCGCACACACACACACACACACACACACACACACACACACACACACACACACNCACACACACACACACACACACACACACACACACACACACTTAACTCACCATAATTGGGATTCATAAACATGTCGAGTACCCTTCTAGTCAAGTACCCACCAGTACACAAAAAATGTAAATATCATAAAAGGGTCTTGTTGGAATGAAAGTGTTCATTCTACAGGAGAAAGCTAAATAAATCTATATGAAAGCAACTGAAAAAACACATTAATACTCTTAAAAAAGACACCAAGAGTTTGTTTTTCTTTAAACATTTTAATTATTTCTACTGCTGCTGTTAGACCATTGATGAACAGAGGTACAGGTATCAGTTGTTTACTTCTTTTTTTGTGGGGAAGGAACTCAAATGAGGTGGAGCACTTTGGTTAACCTCGTGCCGGAGAGTGTGGATTTCAACAGCACATCATATTCATACTGCAGCATCACTGTGTGTGTCTATGTGTGTGTGTTTGTGCGTGAGGATGAGAGAGAAAACACAGAAACATTGACAAGTGCAACAATTTCTGCTTAGTGAATTAAACTTTTAAAAAATAAACTGAAGCAGATCTGCATTTTTATTTTGTTTTTGTTTTTTTTACTCCTCTGGCTTAAAATTAGATAACTTTACTGGCTGTGACAACACTGCCTGAACAGAAATCAAATATCTTTATTTCACTGTAGACACATCCAGATGCCACATCAGTTTTTTTTAACCCAATGATCTCTGGATCGTTTCTTTTGCTGTTACACAACTCTTGTTCTTTTTTTTTCTTTTATTTGTACAATTCTCATAGACATACTACTAGTAAAGAAATATACTGTATTGCGAACTATCAAAATAAATAAAATTGTTATTTACATGAACATATAAAGAGTACTTTATCACTAATACAGCTTGTTTGAATAAGAATAGGCTACTGTATGTCTGTCATGCTTTCATCTAAAGAAATGAAGCCATGAATGAGGTTGTACAGAGCTCAAACAAACCTTTCTCCCTCCTTTTAACCTGACTGCTCGTCACTGGTGCTGCTGGTYTTCATCTTTCATTCTCTTTGTTTTTGATTATTTAAAAAAAAAATCTGCAAAAGTGTTTTGTCATCATACAAATAAAACCCCCCCTTTAAAACCAAATACTGGAAGAGAAACTCCTAAATCACAACCGTCGTAAAGTTTAAGTGAAGTTTTTTGATGGGGTGGTTAAAAAGAGGATTAATGACAGAACTGAGTGTGAATGTGAGGAAAAGAGAAGTTCAGATCTGGGTTTGCTACAAGCTTGTGGATGTGGCAGATGTTTTTTTTTTTTTTCTGTTTTGGATTGAGATGTAAAGAAAAAGGTAGCAGAAAAATGCACCATTATTGTAGTGTAAAATGTAAACCGTAACACTGCAGTCCAACGTTACAGAAAAGGCAACTTCAAWACCGTGAAGAGCAAAGTCAAAGCACAAGTTCTGTCTCTGATTACTGCTAACACATTTAGCAAAATTTCATGCAGTTCTGATTTTCCAATCTATCATTTTTCATCATTTCTACCCCACGTTACACAGCTTGAAGTTCTACTTCTAAACACTTTTTTCATTTTTTTTCATTGTTTTCCTTCCAAACTCTTTGAATAAGTTAACAAAGAAGATTTTCTATGAAAAAAAGCGATGCTTATAAAAATGTAGCGGCTAAAGAATAACTAAATTAGGTTCAATAAAACATGAACATTTGGATGACGTTCTCGTATTGCCGTAGAGCTGTTCCACCGYGAGGAAAAGTTTCCATGTTTTAGCCCGGATCATCACCGAAAGGCCAACTGTCTTTTGTCCTTTCTTGCTCCTTGAGCTCAGTAACATGTGCTCGGATGAGAGAACGTGAAAAAAGAAAAAAAAAGTTTATCCACATATTCCCCTTCTTCCTTCTGATCTTCCTTGTTGCCTCAGTCATATGCCTCCTGAATTCTTTGCATCTTTTAATTTTTTTAATCCACCCCTCCATCAATCTCTCCTCCTTGGAAAGATAGATTAAGGGATTTTTCATCGTTTGGCCCCCACCCCCCAGGATAAGCTGCTGGGTGTGTCTCCTCTTCCTCCTCCTCCGTACAGAGGGAGCTGGATGAGGATTACCTGCTCACCACCCCCACTCCTCGACCCTGGCCTACTCGAGAAGAGGCGAGCTGGGGGAGAGGACGGTGCTGCTGGCTGAGCTGATGGAAACATCATCAGAGTCCGATGGGGAGTTTGGGACCGGGGAAGGGTCAGGGGTCAGGGAAGCGGGGGCTGCGGGCAGGCCGGGGAGGCAGCTGGGAGGCTCCGCCTGGCGCGCGCTTGTCGTCAGTTCTGGATTCACAGTCTGGATCGTCTGCAAAGGCGGCCGCTTCACATGCGGGTGGCGTCTTCGTCTGAGAACCTGCCTCTCCTTATCAAGAGGGGTGGCCTGAAGGAAACCAGGGAGAACTCAGCATGAGACTTTAGGCCCTCGAGCAGCAAAGTARCTCAAACAATATGGAGGACCAAAGAGATGGACACAAGCCTGGAAGTTATCTGCAGATGTGTATAGTCATGAAGTACATTTACATCATTATAGTACTTAAGTATTTTTTAAGCATCAGTCATTTTACCAAGTATTTCTTTTAAATCTTAACTTCTACTTATATTTTGTTACATTCACAACATAAAAATTAAACTTTTAGGCTACTTCTTTACAATTAGCTGGTTACACGCTACAAAYTTAAATATGACCAGAACTTGTCATGAAATGTTTATGCACTAAAAAAAGTTGAGAAAACTGAGCAATTTACACATTTTCTTTTAAAGAAAAAGTTTTGTTTTTTACTCTCAGACATTTGTTTCAGTATTTTATACACCTCTGGCTGTTGGTGTTTAGATGGACAGTACCAACATCTCCAGTTTACTCTGTTGGTTGTGACAGCATTTGCTCAAAAGTTTGGCATTTTTTGGAGCTCAGTAGTCTCTAAGTGACACATCATATTGTCCTTTGCAAAAAGATTTTTATATTGACTTATTCCTGCCCCATTGTTAATTAAAAGAATCAACAATAACGCACCTATTTTTGTTGGATTTGTCTGTATACATTTTTTTGTGATTCGTTATGTATTACCTTTTTTTAACCAGGCWATTCCCATTGAAATCACTTTATTTCCAAATCATCTCCCCCAGAAAATACACTGAGATCTCATCAGTTCTTCAAAAATATTGTTCTCTGAAATCTACTTGTATCTTCTTGTGCCTGTTATAGCTTTTGGCTACCACCTTGCTAATTTTAGCTTTTAGCAACAGTTTTAGGAAGGGGAGAAGTGGTGGCGCAAAAAGGCAATTTCTTTAGTTCTTTGTGTTCTCTGTCATTTTCTTTGTCCTGGTGTATCTTTTTTTAAAGGGCCTGTGACACGACTATCCTTCAAATACAAAAAGTCAAAGAAGCATCTTTATACTTAAGAAAATTGGCATAGTACACATGATTTTACCCATTTTGTCACATAACTGGCCTATTTTCTTTTGAATTTGKCTCAGCCAAAGTGAAACAGGAAGTGACGTCAAAGGGGTACTCATTAATAAAATAAACTGACTGGTCTCTGTTTATTAAAACAAAATTATTTAAACTTTAACTCTTCTTCATCTCTCCTTGATAGAAACTAAAATAATCTAAAGAATCATCAGATTATTCTCTACAGTCTGTGTTGTTAGCTGTTGTWACAATGCTCTGTTTATATCTTGACATTACCCTTTGACATCACTTCCTGTTTCTTCACATGCAAATATCTCAACAACTGTTAATCGCAGCGATGTGGAATTTGTTTTGCAACATGTTATCAATGAAAAGCTGTCACAGGCACGTTAACTCTAAATCTCATGGTCCTCCATTTGTAAGCAGAAAAAGTCACAACAGAAACTGGATAATGACAGCTATATAATTAGATTTCATGAAAAAAGGCATCATGATGGGCAACAAAACGACAAACAAAACAGCAAGTGAATGTAAATAAAAGACACAAGCAAGGGTGGTTTCGTTGGAAAAGCAGTTTTCACATTGTGCACCGAGGGACTGTGACTTTCTTTTCAGAAACGTAGCTTTTGCAGGACGTGAGATAACTTAGACAACTTTTCACACATGCAGCTCCARGAGACACAGATAAACAGCAACACGACACGAGACGAGGCTTGGCCAGAAGACAAACAGCAATGCAGGAATAAAATCTGTGTTTGCAACGAGTGAAGGGGTGCAGCAGGGGGAGAAGCGAAAAGCTGAGCACGAAAAGCAAAACGATGCTGTAAAACCAGCCCACAAGCAGCATCCAGATGGGCAGCACTCAAGGGATGCAAGGGGAGAGGGGTGGTGCTATCAATTTGTTTTGWTTGCGAGGGGGGATTGTGACTCTGCTCGTGTGTACCTGATCCAGTACATGGCCGGGTGCTGGTAGAAATCCAACGACCCAGATCTCTGCATAGAAAAGCTGTCATCCAGCTGAACACAAGGAGAAACCAACACAATCAGTCCCAACACCTGAAGGAAGTAGTGGCGCCAACTTATAGAACAGAAACCTTTGAAAGAACTCTCTGCACAGAAGAATCTGCCAAACGAGCTGATTCATAGGAACTGTTTGTRGCGTTGACTTACAGAAATGACCGACACTCCTGCAGTGGTGTCGTTGACTTTCAGACCGGTGTTGAAGTGCTTCTTTATCTTTCCTGCTACTGACAGCTGGTGCTCGTTCTCACACAGACCCTCGTTCTGCAAGAAAAAAAAGGAGACAAAAAAAAAATCAGTGTTTCTGAGGGAGAGGAAACGCCGCAGCCAAACATAAAACTCAAAGAAACTGTACTCACAGTGACCCAAGGGTGCTCCAGCACCTGCAGGGCAGTATACCTCTGGTCCACCTCCACCTCCAGCATGGATCGGATCAGATCCTGCAGAGGCAAATAGAAAGGGGTGTTACGACTGAGAGCACACGAGTCAGTTCACATATGGCTGACAGGATATTCACCTTGGCTGCCTCTGACACGTTGTCCCAGTAGGGAAGAGGAAATTCTAGYTGTCCCATTAGAATCTGATCGAAAAGTGCTTCTTGATCATCGCTGCTCCTGCAAATGTTACCACATCAAACAAACAAACAAACAAAAAAACAAAAAAAACACACAACCCTTCGATTAAGAATGTCCACAGCAATGAAAGATGCACAGTTTAAATAATAACTTGAAATTGCAGCATAAGAAACAGTGACCTCTGGTGGTAAGTATCTAATTGCAACCAATACATTTTTGCTAAAGAACTGCTCATTTAAAGATAATTAAACAAAAACAAATGCCAATCACTGTTACTCTCTGTAACATCAGAGCAAAAAAGTGACAAAAGAAGTTTGGCTAGCTTACCCTCGAAAAGGCGGGAAACCACACAGCAGGATGTAGGTGATGACTCCAGCTGCCCAGATGTCAACTTTAAGGCCATACCTATCAGGATACAGAACTCCGTTAAGACATAATATTTTTTATTTGTCTTTATGTTTCTAGAACATAACAAAATTGTCATGTTGCCCTCAATAAGTAAATATATAAATACAATAATAAAGCTTATATATGTTGTGTTCTCCTTTTGACCTCAAGGTGCAGCAAATGGATGTGAGTATGACTGCAGGGAGGTAGAGGGGATGGAAGGTGGGCAGATGGATTGAACAGCTCTTGGAAAGAAGTTGTTCCTTAGTCGAYTGGTTGTGGTCTTAATGCATTTATCATTGTTTTATTTTACGTATTTAAAGGCAAAATACTGAAAATAAAAGAAAAAAATACAAATGGCTTTTCTCCTGTCTAGTTTGCTGTATCCTCACCCTGTTTCTGCAATGATTTCAGGTGCTACATATGTTGGGGTCCCACAGACAGTGTAGAGGGGTCCATCCACCACAGTTGCCAAACCAAAGTCTCCCAGCTTGAGGCTTTTGGTCCCATCTGCATGTTCGTACACCTAAAAAAATAACAATAAAAAAAAACACTCATGATCTTAAATAGCTGCTGTGAGGTCAGTAACCAAAACCTCAGCTTCAACACTGAATTCTACATGCGTTGCATTAAAGTTACAAACAATTTCTAATTGAAGTTGATGCTTTTTGAGGCTTCCAGTTGCTTTCAATTTGTCCACCTAGTTCTTTCGTACCAAGGCATTAAACAAAGCGTTAATTAACTCAGCTGAAAACCAAAAAAGACAGGGTGGGGGGTGGGTGGGTGTATATTAGGTGTGTGGCAATCGATGTGGCCTTGGAATAGTAGCTTTTTAAAGTGTGAATCTGACCAGAGCATCACTTGGCACATGCAGAAACAGCTCTTAAGAGTATGAAGCTGACAATAAAGATTTCAACAGAAGGGAGATGGAACGAACGAGGGAGTGTGCAGGAGGTGTGAAGGCAGCGCGGATGAGTCACGTCTTTCTGCGAGAGCGCCAAGAGTCGGGGATATGACTTCATCGTTCATTCAGAAAGGCAACAGGAAACAAGAGCAGGTGTAAGGTGGTGGTGGTGGGCGGGGGCAACACACTGCAGCAAAGTTATGTGAGCCGGTGTGCAGAGCGTGAACTCACCAGCAGGTTTTCTGGTTTGATGTCTCTGTGCACGATGTTGAGGCTGTGGAGGTATTTGATGGCGTTGGCCAGATTGTAGAGCATGCCGCTGGCGTCCCGCTCCGTGTATCTGTTGGCCGAGGTGATGGCGTCGAACAGATCTCCCCCCTGCGAAGAATATTTGAGCTGTTAGTATTGGAAACAGAATGCCACGTGTTCAGGGTTAAACAAAAAAATAAGTAGTAGTAGTCCTCAACTTAGAAACTCCTCCTCCCCTGTCTTTAAGGAATATCTTATTCCACTCCTCTGCTCTCTAAGTCATTTCTTTGTCATTATGTCACTCGTTCATCTCTTTTCTCTCATCCTGTCTGAGTGGAGTACACAGATTTACATAACTTCCTAATAGACAAATRTTTTAATATGAGAACTACCAAATGCACAAATCAGCCTCTATATTCTGTCCTTTGTTGAAATGCAAAATGTCTATATTATAGATACACTGATACATTTGAAGAAGAATATTTTTAGGTACAACACATGAGATGGGGCAGGGTTCAGTGGAGTCGGTGACATTGAGGGTGGGTCTCTGTGCTGGAAACCTTCCCTAAACCCCTCCAGAGTTCATGACGTTACCGTCTCTCGCTCGGTTCACCRGAGTTCAAAGTTTCCTCTTCTAGGCCTCAGGTTCACAGGCCAGGTCCAACATGGGTGATCGGTGGCACACTTTCACCTCAGTTGATCCTATTTTTCTGTCTCACTATCTCAGCCCGTGTCACCAAGGCAGCAACAGTTTTCCACCTCATTCATCCACTGCCCCCCGTCTCCGTCCTCCAACTTGGGACACGGTCACACATACGCACGTCTCCCCCACAGATTGGCTCGCGTCTATATTCTGTAGTACTCCACGCCACAGCGCGAACAGATGGATCACATTCTTGGCTTCTGAATTATGCACAAACATTTCTTYTTTCCAGAAAGCCAGAGAGAGAATGGAGAATGTGAACACACGAGCGCCTGAGGGGGGCCTGCACAAAACTGATTCTCTTGGTCTCATTCTGCACGACGTCGTCATTTGTCTGCACCGTCTGATTGGCTCTTCTGCTCTGCTTTGACGCACTCAAGCTTAATACAAGGATCACACACACGTGTGTGTGTGTGTGTGTGTGTGTGTGTGTGTGTGTGTGTGTGTGTGTGTGTGTGTG